AGTGTATGCGATCGAAATGTAAATTGATGAGTGTGATTATTAGATGCCAATAAAATTATAATCGACGAATGTTGTTGATAAATACAATTTCCAGATAGTACATATTACAGAAAAGTGTTCACAATGGATAAGTAAAGTAGTGTTCTTCACATTAGGGTTGGACAAAACTTCCGGATCGAACCGGACCAAATTGGATCCGACTCAAATCGAGGAGATCTTTTTAAGTTAAATACCCCAAATGAATATCTGAATTGAGAACCGAAAGATTCAGTGTGATTCTTGATTCTAGACTAAGAACCAATCTTCATATATATATATATATATATATATATAAACTTGCTAACTAATTAATTTAGCCCAAACCCAGATTTTCTCATTTCTAATTTTCGGCCCAAACTAAACCTAATCAAATTGACCTAGGTTTTACTGAAATCTATTATTCTACCGTAGTATCGTTTCTATCATTCTAGAGAAATCGAATTGAAAGTTTGGCTACGCTTCTCTTCATTATTAGGAGCTGGCTATCTTCTTCTTCCTGTAATTTTAACAATTAACTCAACAAAGAAAGACAAAAAAGATATCATGAGATTGGACAACGTTATTTGGTAAGAACTAAGATTGAATATGTCATTAGTTGAATTAATATAGCGTTATTGTAAATATTAAAAAATTAATTATTGTATGGAATTCAGAAATTAGAAGGTACCAAATTGAACTGAATGGAATCGAACCTGAACGGTTCCATAATTAAATTTGGATTTGATTGTTCCACTTACTAAATATCCAAAAATTCGGATTCTGTTCGATTCTCCATAGAATCGAATCGAATCAAACCACATCCAACCCTACTCCACACTAATGTTGCATCGTGTAAGACTTTAGATTGTCTCAATTTCAGTGTGACAAATTGTCCTTCGACAATTAAAAATCAATGTTCATTTTTCATATCAACAAACGAGTAATGTTACTCACAACCATTGTTGTTAAGCACCAACATAGGTGGTTACATGTATTAAATAATAGATTTATTTAAATGCAAAGTTACGTGATTCATTTAATTGAATGTGGCTAACTAGATTGATACTCTAACATTATTGTTGCCAAATAACATTATTCTTAATCATATATGAAAATTAATGTATTAAATAGATTACAGAGGCATTGGGATTTAAATTTCTTGAAATTCTGAGTTTGTACATGCAAAACAAACGCGGCGAAGCCATTGATACATGTATTGCAGTTGATTTTTCTACATCTACAAACTGGAAATACAATTTAAAAAAAAAAATTATTATTGGGATCC